TCATCCAAGCAGTCACTGCAGGGTCAGCAATGACTGAGCGCAGACAAAAAAAAAAAAAGCTAGGATATATTTATTTATTTATTTATTTATTTATTTATTTATTTGCTTGCTCATTTATTTAATACAAAATATTATATCCTGCCCCACTCAGAGATTCTGGGTGACATTTTAAAATTACAATCTTCAAAAATCCACTATCATAAAACAGTTAAATACATAATCAATTAAAAGGATCTTTAAATTAAACAAACATTACAATAAGGCTTAAAGCAAAGGTGAAAAGAAAACAGCAGCCCAGCCAAACAGTGCTTTCAGCTGTATGCACTCCTACGAGCAATCAACATAGAAGACTGTTCTGTAGAGATGGGGGTGCCATTGATAAAGTTTGTTGCTTACTCTCCCAGTAGCTTAATACAGAAGTTAAATACAGCGAGGAAAAGAACTAAGCCCTATGGAAGACCTCAAAGGACTGGCCAGTAGTTTGACTGGTCATCCCTCACCACTACCAACTGGAACTGACCACTCAGGGAGTTCTTCCATCCCTCAGGCAGTCCAGAAAGGTACAATTTTTGATGGTATCAAATGACACAGAGAAATCTACTGGGACCAGGAGGACTGCACTTCCTCCATCGAGGTCATGAGGAAGACATCCACAAGAGTGACCAACACAGTTTCCATCCCATATCTGGGTCTGAAATCTGACTGAAAGACATCAAGATAGTCTGCTTCATTCAGGGTTCTTTGTAGCTGACACACTACCACCTTCTCCAAGATCTTCTCCAAAAGGTGGAGACTTGGGATGGAGCAAAAGTTATTGAACAAGGACAACTCCTAAACAGCAAACATATTTGCATAATGCTCCCCATATTTTTCAGCATCAAGGTCTGAGTGCTATACCAGTCCAAGTCATCTCAATAATGTACTAGAATAAGAAATTCATTATTTAAAAACAAAATTAATCTAACTTGGGTGATATGACAAGGAAGCATTTCTGGTTGCCTAGCACAGATCCTATTAAGAAGTGACTCTCTCCTCAACAGATCTGACAAATTAATTATTTCAGAAAAATCTGCATTTGCTTGATCTGGGTACACATCCAACATGCTTGCCTGTTTCCCCTTTACTTAATCTGGATTATTAACAGCAGGATTGATCTACTACCAGGTACTCCTATGCCATCCTGTCCCTTGAGGTTATGGAAGAAGATGGTGCTAGGTTATGAATCTGTGTAGGCAGTACAGGAACTCCATTGTGATAACATAGAAAGCATACTAAATGAATGTCAAAGAATGTCATCTTAATGTCTTTCCTGCTGTAAAGCAGAATATGAAACACTGATTGAACAAAAGTGTGTTTTGATGAATGGGCGAAGAAAATATCGTATTTAAATTAACCCATCTGTTTAGGCCAACTGCCTGTGAAACATCCTGAATATTGCAGTGGTCTGACCTGTGGTAGAGGCAACCAAAGTATCTGAACTTTAAAGCAGTTCCTTTCCTGAGGTCTTAGAATGGCTGCCATGTTTAAGGACTAGACTTATGAATGGAATACTTTGAATGAATTCCTAGGACAGAAAAAAGAACAGGCTGTTGCCTGAGTTCATTGCTGAGGGTGACTGAAGACTGATTCATGCTTGACATATGAACATAGGAATCCAGTCCTGCTGGATTAGACCCAAGAAATGTCTAGCTCTATCTCTGCATGAGAGCTGCTCTCAGTCAAGAGTAGACAATGCTAGGTCAAGCAGACACATGCTGGACTTGAGTAATCTGTAGGCACAGATTTTTAATTGGTGAGACTGAGACAGAAAAGAATGAATGGGAAAGGTGATTTTTCAGGCAGTATATATTAATTTCTAATAATAAGTAGTAGCTTTTGTTTATTACATAGTAAGTTTAGTTTTCCTCCCATTGACTTGTTCCTTATAATTACAGTAATTGTCACTATGAAGAGGACTTGAAACTTTCACCCCACATGGGCACATTCATACGTACAAATGAACAGAAAGAGAAAAGGAGGATCACTTACATATAATATGTAGGATACACCCCTTCAAAGTACCAGCATTGCTTTTTGGCCTCTGAATACTGAAAAGGAAGGAGAAAAAAATAGCATTGTTCATCAGGTGCCAGCATGAATCATGATTAACATAAAGGACATTATAATTGTATCTGTCAGAAATTCTAAAGAAACAAACAAACAAAAAAGTACAGTTCACATATTAATCTATTTCAGGCAGGTTTCTCCAACATGGCACCATCTAGATTAGGGTTCCTCAACCTCAGCAACTTTAAGATTGGTGGACTTTAACTCCCAGAATTCCCCAGCCAGCCATGGTTGAAGTTGAGGAACCCTGATCTAGATGTAAGGGGAGTGCGATTACCAGAATTCCTTACCTTTTGGCTGTGGAGTTGGGTAAAATTAATTTTAAATAAATCCTAGGATAATAAGAATGGTTTGGGAAAGGATTAAGTGTACCCTCTGAACCAATGATTTTTTTTTCCACAAGTGCCTTCAGGGCTCTTAGCATTAAAAAAGAAAGAAGGAGATGGGGAGGATCTTTTGTTCCCACATGGAAACTTCTACTCTGTCCTCAAAAATCCTGGACAAGCCATAACCTTTTTCTCTTTTCACAAACTGTAAGCATATGCAAACATTTGCAGTGCAATTCTCCACATGTTTATTTGAAGAAAGTCTTCCCATTGTGCCAAGTAAGATTTACCTGCTACTAAGTTGTTTCCAATCAAAACATTTATCTTGAAGTAAATCTGGTTGAACCAACTATAGAACTGCTTAAAGTCAAACCACATCAGATATCAACCATCTACACAGATGGCTATCTTAGTTGCAGGAATTAAGGGAAGAATCAGTCCATTGGCATTTTAGGCCCACATGTGTCCGCATCATAAATTAATTTAACTCTCTGAACCCCTCAAGATACATAGGGCACAACTGATACTTTTTACATGAGAAAGGCAAGGTAATTTTCTCTTTTAAAATAATCTCATGAGTAAGCTAGGTATGAGGATGGCAAGTCTAATGTTCCAACCACCTACAAAGGAGGGGGATCTGATTATCAGAGTAAGAAAAATGTGTTGGTGGAAATTTAAACCCTTTCCCTCCTAGTTCCTGCTTTAGTTCCTGCTCCTGGTGTTTTCCCCATCAGTCAAACTTCAGTAGTAGTACTGAAATGACATGGAAGAAAGGAGTATGACTGACAGGGAGGGGCAACATTTTGGAAGGAACCGTTCCCTTACTTGGGTTCCTCTTTTATTTTCTGGACATCATTTTCTTCCAGTTTTATGTAACAAACTTTTCCAGGGAAGTTGGACAAACTCCCAGCCAGCAAGGCCTTTGTAAATTGTCATCTAACATATCTGAAGGGCCACAGACTTGACGGGGCAGGCCTAGATTTAAAACAAATGGAATCTGGCCCTTATCCACTGTTTCTCTGCATAGATTCACAGCCCTCTTTATCTTGATATACCCTATCCAATGTTTCTATGGCAGCATCTCCAGTTATATGGAGTTGACATTGAATGTGCTTGTTCAAAATAAGGCTTCTTTTTCTTTTTCTTTTCCTTTTTTTTTTTTTTTTGAGTTTTAGCTCATTCTGTTGATTTTCCTCCTCTTGCCACACTATTGTTAAATATAAACAAGCTACATGTTGAAGCGTAAAATGGAAGTTGTCATTATAAGTTTGAACAGATTTAATTCTCAGCTGAATGCCACACTGAACAATTACTCTAGAGGGATGTTGACAGAACCACAAGTTTCTATCTACAGATAATGGTCTCTACACTTTTGATAGGGGGCAAATAAAATTAAGCTCAGAGCACAGTATGTAAATTAATGTAAATAATTTGGATATTGTGAAACATTCTGTTGCAATACACTTAGGAACTCAGTCCAAGTCTGGGTTTAGAATAACAAAAAGTTTCACTGAGTAAATCAAATAATAATGTTAATATTGATATTAATTTGTATATTATAAAGGTTTAGATGATGTTTTAATTTTTTCAATCATACTGAATACTCACTGAAGTAGAAAGACAGTGTACAACTTGCATAAGTTAATAAATTATAAAGAACAATCATTTCCTGAGTGATAACTATACTTAAATTAACTGGAAAACTGGTCACCTTGCCAAATCAGAACTCTTACCTTACCCATTATCTTAGAATTTCTGTTCAAGCACAGAGCTAATCTTAGCAAGTAGTTATACATACTGTATTCCATAGTTAAGTTGGCAAATGAATATCTATATTCTCCTGCTGTATCTAGCAATTTCAGTTCTATTTGGAATGATCCTTATACATACTTTTTGGGAAACAAGAAATTTATTATTTTCTTCTTAGACAGATTAGGAAACCCCAGAGTTTGTGGAAAGAATTAAATTAAATATATGGCATATGTATGGAAAATTGGTTTTTATTTTTTTAATCTGATTGTCTTTGATTGAAATGTCTTGTTTGTTGATTGATGGCAATGCTTGCTCTTTTTTGTTGCTGGAGATTTGACTTTTTTATGCATGAAGAAGACAAAATTGATCTGTGAAACCTATTTGATATTCAGAGATATGAGTCATTCATCTGGCATTGTAATATAAGCAGATTGCATGTGTGGTGTCAACAGTATTCTAACATATCCAACCAGTATGTCTTAATCTCCTTGGTTGTTCAGATGGCTAATATCAATTATAGTGTTTTAGTAGGAATTAGTGTGGGTTAATGCTGGACAGAATCTCAGTAGAGCACATTACAATGTTTGGGTCTATTAACCTTTTTCACAAAGGAGTACTAGCAATTCCAGTCCCAAAAGATAAATCATGAACACTGTCATTAACTGGTGGATGGCAAATTTATCTGTCGTAGAGCAACTGATTTATAATTGACATAATGCCTTTCTCACTCTTCCAGAAAGAAAAGGTATTTTTATTTACCAAATAAGCTAAAAATTATTGCCTTCTGAATAGGCAATACTCAAGAAAATAAGCAGATATTCTAAAATGAAGCAAACTACAGGGGGAAAAAACTGTTTTTCTGTAATTAGCTTTATTTTTAGTTTAAGATAGACAACCCACAACTTAGAGGGCTTACATGAAATTATTGTACTTCCTTTATTATTTGTCATAAAATAAGACATCATATTGCCTAAGAGCATTACCTTCACACACATCTAGTGCAGCAACTGACATATACTACAAAGAAATCACGTCAATATCCAATTCCTAGGTCGGTCCTTTTCTCTGACTCAGGGTAGTGACTGTCAAAAGATAATGGAATTCCACTATTCAGGACCCTGGACAGTAGCATATCATAGCAAAAGGGCTGTGCCTGCCTGGAAGGTTTGGTTTTTCCGAAAGACTCATAAGCATATCAGGCTGCTAGTGGCACATGCATCTGTTGGCACGTGAGCATGTGCGGTGAATCCCTCCCTAGCTATGGGCAACCATCATCCTATGCAGGATTCAACTTTCTGCAAGCTAGAACAAAACACCTGAAACTGCCAATCTCAATTCAGATCCTACTGACTTAACAACACCCCCAACAAAACACCATTAAAACTACCTTCATTTTTTACATAGCAAAAACTGTCTAGTTTTGCTCTACTTCTGTTTTTCATTTATCAAATATTCCTGATAAGAATCTTTATTGAGGTGCTTTATTAAAGGAAGGCTCAAGTGTTAAAACACAGCATCAACCACTGTTCTTTTTCTCATTCCAGCAGTTCTAGGACAACTTTACATACATCTAGAAACTATCACAGCAGCTGATAAAACCTGATTGGATGTCTGCTAGTTAAAATTTTCCATTTTAAGATAATGTCTTTTTTACTTCTCTATTTTTTTCTTATCACCTAGTCTGAGAAAGAGTTCTGGAGAACCCAAAATTTCCAAATGTAATTTAGGTAGATGGCTGATGTGGGTCTTCCGGGGTGTGTGGCCGTGTTCTGGAAGTTTTGGTTCCTAACGTTAAGAACCAAAACTTCCAGCCCAGAAGACCCACATCAGCCATCGTATTTCGGCCATGAAAGCCTTAGACAATACATTAATTTAGGTAGACTTTATTAAAATGATTGTCCTAATTTTTTTCATATGACCAACACAGTAGCTTTGCTTATTTTGGGAGTAGAAGATGCTGTAACTCAGAATTCAGATGCAAGCAATGAAGCCTCCATTTCAAATTTATTCTCAGCCAAAAACACACTAGAAGGTCTTAGATAAAGACCCGGTCTATTAGTCTTAGATTCTATCTCCAGTCTGGCAATCATAATCTTAACTTATCTTGCTGGGTGTAGCAAGGATTACTAATATATAGCATGTTAAATCTTCTGGAAACTAAATATATAATCAATTTATAATAATATAGTATATAGTTAGCTAATAATATCTGTATTATTATTGCTGGCATCTCTTTAGTCTGCCAGATTTAATCTGCCATTCTCTCATTCAGTTGGGTAATTGATCTACATGCAAACATTAAACACAATCTCTCCCCACCAGTGATGGGGCTGAGCTGAAATAAGCCTAACTGATTCTCACACGAAATAATTCTAATAAGCAGAAAGTTTCTATTGTTCCATCAGTAGATGGTGTTATACAGAAAATTCCTCCAATCTCTTTATCAAAGCCATTTCAAAATTGATGATGATGATATTCAAAATAGTTTTCATAATAGTGTCCAAATAGCTTAAGAACAGATCTGGGGACTCCAAAAGGTACCAAAATGTATGTCTATTTATACCAATATACCTAACAATACACTCTATATGCACAGCTGGAAATCTAATTTTTAGCGTTTGCAATCTATTTTAGTAAAGTATGTAAGTAATTGTTCCTTTAAGTTCAAGAATACATCCACTGATTTTTTTAATTAAACTTCTTTAACCAACCTAAACTTTCATGTGGTTTCAAGGAACCTCACAATGGGGATTAAGGCCATTAGGCTCTGATAGGGGCAAATATGTCATCAACAACTTAGGACACAAAGACATAAGTTAACTGTCTTGTCTGCAAGGAAAGATTGACACACATTTTCCTTCGTTAACCCTAACAGAACAAGCATAGTTTATCAGTAGCAGCAA